GTGGACATGGTTACTAAGACATGTCAAACCAAATCCATTCACTCAGCGTTTGGGATCATCACTACCATTTCACAGAATCACAGAATCATAGAATGGCCAGGGTTGACAAGGACCACAATGATCACCCAGTTTCAACCCCCCTGCTATGTGCCGGGTCGCCGACCACCAGACAACACATCCAGCCTGAATGCCTTGAATGCCTGCAGGGATGGGGCATCCACAACCTCCTTGGGCAACCTGTTCCAGTGCGTCACCACCCTCTGAGTGAGAAATCCATTTGTAGATAAATTAGTTGAATCAGAATAAAACAGAGGTCAGACTCTCCCCTCACCTTCACATCCATAAAGTGCTGCGAGTGGATGGGGGAAGCAGGCTATGACACAGGCTGATCCAAAAGTAATGCCGCCTCTTTTATTTGAGGCAGATGTTGGTGGGATAGCAGTAGAGGTTGAACCTTCCCATCAACATTCCTTTACATTTTGTTCCTGTGCATCAGATGGCAACAGAGGGGCAGTCTGACAAAATGGCATCTGACATGGAAGTGCACGTGAAGCAAAGGAGGTTCACTGAATGCCTCCATGAGGAAGAAGTGAGATCCACTGAGATTCACTGACCCTTGCTGAACACTTATGGAGACTGACTGGCGGATGTGAGCACAGTGAGATGGTGGGTGGTGCATTTCAGCAATGGCAACAATGACATGAAAGACAAGCCACATTCTGGATAGCCATTTAGATTTTTACGAGTGTGGCATGCAGGCTCTTGTTCATAGCTGGCAAAAATACACAGCTTATTGTAGTGACTGTGTTTTGTAGCTGAGAACTTGCTCTATCAAATAGTGTAATTGTGCTCTTTGTATCAGTTATAGTTTCCAAGGAAATAAATAGGATGCATTACTTTTGGAGCGACCTATGTATTTATAGGGCACAATTACAAACTGAGCGTACCATTTCCATAGCCCACTGCTATACCAGCTGCTGACAGTATAATCCCACATTAGCACAGGCAGCAAGATGTGGTTCCCACAGGAGATGTCTCACGTGGCCAATCTGGTGCCATGAATTCACACCCTGGAAGAAATCTCTGGCTTCTTCTGGAATTATTTTTAACTTCTTTCTCTACAGCATGATTATCCAGGCAGAGTTCATTCAGCATCCACCTCAATTTGGGATGGCTGTATTGAGTCTTCAAGATTTTAGCTGCTTAAAGAAACACAGCAGAGCAATTTTGCTCCTTCCACCTGAGGTTTGGACCCAGGAGAGCAGAGAAGCGTTGAGGCTGTATGTTCAGGACTCATAGAATCATAGAACTGCTCAGGTTGGAAAAGACCTTCAAGATCATCAAGTCCAACCACAACCTAACCATGACTCCTTCTGCCAGGCTGCCTCTGCTGCCAGTCTTGGTTAGTTGGTGCTGGCTCAGCAGCAGCAGCCCCAGGGGCATTTGGCAAAGAGAAATTTGTTCAGAAGTATCACATTCTACCAAAAGATGCAGTTCTTAGCCAACTCTTTGAAGAAACTTCTTGTCAGAAAAAGAAATGAAGCTATTTCCTCTTCATTCTTCCACTCCACTGGTGACCCAGACCCACCAACAGCCATGACACTGAGCAGTGCTGAGCAATGCTCTCCAACACATCCCAGTTTGCACATCAATCACCTGTTCTGGTTTGTCCTGGGTTCCATCTCATGTGTTTTAGCACTTCCCACTGTTATTAGGGTAAAACAATGCTCTGCTAACCTCGTTTTGAGTTTGGTGCCTATGGAGAAAGCATCAGGGCAGAGCTTCCCATGGGAGCACCAGGTCTGTGCTGTGAAAAGAGACATCAGTAACCCATGCCTTGGGGTGAGCAACTACTCCTGGACTAAATTCAGCAGATACAACTTTCTGCAGTGCCTGTGCTATTTCAAGGCCTTGTGTACAGAAGTGTATTAAGAAATGATAAAGGCACGTGGAAGCCACTCCATAGTAAAAGGCATATGGAAGCCCAGGTCATATCTGGGGTATTTGTGAGCCCAAAAGATGATCAGAGGGTTTTGGTGTTTCCCAGGTCACTGGACAGGGTGCTTTGGAGGAGGTAGAATGCAAAGGAAAGAGCGAGAGCTGCATCTTCCCCAGAGCTTACAGCACATAAGAACATAATACTGGTATTTAGCAATCTCGTCACTGCTATAATCCAAGCAAAGTCACAGCTGAGGCCTTATGGGGCTTTGATTTTAGAGCTCAGCCCTTGTAAACAAGCTGGCTGAACTAAGGGGATGGATAAAGACAGTGGGAGGTTTTCTTCTGCAAAGAGCAGGGGAAAAAAAATTGTCTTGAAAAAAAATCATCACAAACCCAGGCCCTTATTTAAGCAATTTCTTTCCAGAATTTTGAAAAGGATTTCATTTCCCCTTGAACTCGACATGAAAGCAGACACTGCATTTGGGTTAATAAGCACCAGAAGTAAAAAAGCAATTAAAATATTACTGTCACTGAAGATAGAGCTGTCTGTGTGGAGCAGCCTTCCAGATTTTGGTGGATGTGGTGATGAAGCACAAATATTCACGAGCTGAACGCTGTCGTTTCTGCACTCCAACCAACATGGCAGGATTACAGCAGAGGGATGTAACAGATAAGCTCTTCTGCTCAGCCTTCTCTGCCACGGGAACAGCAGCAGCTGCACTGTGCCACCCTGAGTCTCTCCTGACTGCAGCTTTAGGCAAAGGCAAATGAAAATGTGAGGTGGGATAATACTGCTCAGTAAACAGTGAAAAATCTCGAGGTAACTTTTGAAGCGATGAACTGAGCTGCTGCACAGACATATTGAAGAGAAAGCCCTATTTATTTATATCACAGCAATGGGGCCGGTGTGTCATCAGAAAGAACAGCCTTGAGATCCCTAGAGAGGAAAAGGAGCAC